AAAAGACAGTGTGGAGAGTAACCTCTGAGTTAGAAGAAGTCCTCAAATTCATAGCCAGCTGGTCAGAAAGGAGGGAGCCTAAGGGGCCACCAGAGCTTATAGCTGGAATCTTGAAGGGGTAATGGAAAACCCTGAATTTGTTGCCAGCAAGGTAGATGTAAGGTGAGCCCTGAGAGCTTCTGAGCTTGTGACTGGTTTCTGAAGTCTTGGACCTGGCAGTCTGGAGGAATGTGTCCTTTAATTTGTGACATCTGATGTAGCTACACATATTAGAGTCAGGAAAAAGTGCTGCATGTGCAGCTGCTGTCAGAACAGAGATGAAAAGTGATGGTTTGATTTATAATGATTTTTATCCTCAGCAAGAAAGAGCCATGTAGGGATGGACTAGACTTGAAGGTGTCAGTGAGAACTGTTGTTAGGTGCCATTGAGTCAGTTCTGATTCATAGTGACCCTATGTGCAACAGAACAAACACTGCCCAGTCCTGCACCATACTCACAATCCGTGCTATACCTGAGCCCATTGTTGCAGGCACTTCATTAGTCCACCTCATTGAGGGTCTTCCTCTTTTTTGCTCTCTACTTTAGCAAGTGTGGTAGTTAAGGTTGTGTGTCCAACTTGGCTGGGCCTTGTTGAGTGGCTGGGCAGATGGTAGTAGTTATTCACCATGATGAGATTAGCAATCAACTCCATGGTGCGATCTACCACAAGGAGCTGAGTAGCTGATTTAGGAATGTGGTCTGTTTCGCATATATAAGAAGCAGCTTTGGGAATGGTCTCTAGCTTTTGGGCACACTTGAATCCTGCATATAGCCAAATCATTGCTCAGCAGCCTGCCATGCTATGCTGACCTTGGGACTTTCAATGGGCCTGAATCAATGGCCTGCCGTGTTGTTTGGTAACATCGGGACAGTGCTATTTTATTTGTTGACCTTGGGGGCTTGTTAGTCTCAGCAGCCAGTAGCTGCTTGAGTGAAGAGATGCCTCTCACTTCAGTGTGCTGGGAGCAAGAGGTAAACCTGAAGGCCAGGGTTGAGGGTCTTTCACCCAACTCCTAGAGCCTGGCACTTGGAACTCAGACTTCTAGCCTCAAATATTCTAAGAGCATAAACTCCTGTTTGTCAAAGCCATCAATTTGTGGTATTTTCTGTCAGAACACAGAGATAACCAATACAGCAAGCATGATATCCTTTTCCAAGGACTGATTCCTCCTGATAACATGACCAAAATATAAGCGATGAAGTCTTACCAGGCTCACTTCTAAGGAGCATTCTGGCTATACTTCTTTCAAGTCAAATTTGTTCACTCTTCTGGTAATCTATGGAATATTCAACTTTCTTCACCAACACCATAATTCAAAGGCATCAATTCGTCTTCATTCTTCCTTTTTCATTGTCCAGCTTTCACATATATATATGAGGTAAATGAAAAAGCAATGACTTGGGTCAGACACACCTTAGTCTTCAGGGTGACATCTTTGCTCTTTAACACTTTAAAGAGGTCTTTTGCAGCAGATTTTCCCAATGCAATCTGTCCTTTGATTTCCTGACTGTTGCTTCCATGAGCATTAATTGTGGACCCAAGTAAAATGAAATCCCTGATAATTTCAATCTTTTTCCCATTTAGTGTGATGTTTCTTATTGTTCCAGTTGTGATTTTTGTTTTCTTTATGTTGAGGTGTAATTCATACTGAAGACTGTAGTCTTTGATATTCATCAGTAAGCACTCCACTGTCAGTAAGCAAGGTTGTGTAATCTGCAAATGGCATGTTGTTAATGAGTCTTCCTTTAGTCCTGATGCTGCATTTTTCTTAATATAGTCCAGCTTCTCAGATTATTTGCTCAGCATGCAGATTGAAAGGATACAACCCTGATGCACAGCCTTCCTGATTTTAAACCATGCAGTATCCCCTTGTTCTGTTCACTTAACTGCCTCTTGGTCTTTGCACAAGTTCTTCTGTACACAGTTAAGTGTTCTGGAATTCCCATTCTTTGCAATGCTGTGCATAATTTGTTATGATCCACACAGTTGAATATCTTCACATAATCAACAAAATACTGGCAAACATCTTTCTGGTATTCTCTGCTTTTAGCCTAGATCCATCTGACATCTGCAATGATATCTCTCATGCCACATCTTCTGAATCCAGCTTGAATCTCTGGTAATTCCCTGTCTATGTATTGTTGCAACTGGTTTTCAATTATTTTCCATGAAAGTGAGAACTTTTGTTTTCTAAAACAGATTAACACATTTGTACTGAATGCATAAATGCACATGTAGATGTATGTAGGTACAGGTGTGTATGAATATGTATACATACACACATCAGGGAGCCTGGATCCACACAAATTTACTATTTGTGATCATTCAGTTTTGATTATAGGCAATGACAAAGGCTTTATAAGGTGAACAGGCAGCTGTGATCCTCACAGCCTTGACAGTAGAATGAGGGGGAAATAATAATTCTAATTAGGGGTCCAAGGCCACCACCACCAGGACTCTTAATCAGGTCAGACTATGGTGAGTTCCCTCTGGTCCTCTAAAATACTCATTGCTATCATGTCAACTATCGAATGTATCAATAGTATAAACATGTTGTTCATCTGAAATTCAGTTTCCTTCACCCCCTGACCTTTTTGAGAATTGCTACTGTGAGGGTTGCTGTTTTTAATCTTGTGAAAGACCATTAAACCATCTGGCTAACTGTGCTTAGAACCATTTTCTACCAAAGTCAATATCAATTGTCAGGGGAAGAAAAATAAATAACTGTCCTCATTTCTCATAATAAAGAAATCAACTTTCCCATAAGATTATTACTCTATACAATAGCCTCATCTGACTTGTTCACAAGACCTGGACCATTGGACACTAACCATTGATCATAGGAACTCAATGCCATTGTTCTGCATTTGGCATTGGCAGAAACGGACATTGGGACTGTTACAGAGGGTGTAGATCAAGATGAGGGAACCTCTTAATTTTGTTGAAAAGTCCTTTAATGCATAAAAGTTTTCAATTTTGATAAAGATTTATCTATTTTGTGTTTTGTTACTTGTGCTTTTGGTGTCATATCTAAGAATTCATTGTTAAAAACTAGGTATTGAAATATTACTCCTATGTTCCCTTCTACGAGTTTTCTGGTTTTAGATCTCATGTTTATGTCTAATTTGGAGTTAATTTTCATATCTGATGTGAGGGGTGGGTCCAGATTTATTCTTTTGCATTTGAAAATCCAAGGGTCCCAACACTATTGAAGAACTATTCTTTTTCCATTGAATGGACTTAGCACATTTTTTGAAACAAATTTACCATAGATGAATGTGTTTATTTCTAGATTCTTGATTCTATTTCATTGGTCTATATGTCTATCTATATTGGAGGCATAGTATGTAAGGCATATGGATGTTAAACAGAAGGTCAGTGGTTCAAACCCACCAGCTGCTCCACAGGAGGAAGATGAGACAATCTACTTCCAGAAAGGTTTACAGCCTTGGAAACCCAACGGGGGTCGCTATGAGTCAGAATTGACTCAATGACAGTGGGATATGTCTATCACACCAGTACCAGAGTATTAAAGAATTAATTAATTAATTATTTTTTTTACTGTAGCTTTATAGTATGTTGTGGAGGTTCCTGGCTGATGCAAACAGTTTGTGCTTGACTAACAATCTAAAAATTGGTAGTTCAAACCCATCCTGTGATGGCATGAAAGAAAGATCTGGTGAAATGTTTCTCTAACCATTATAGCCAAGAAAATTCTATGAAGCTGTTCTACTCTGTAAAACACAGAGTTGACATGACTTGGGATTGATTTGATGGCAATGGATTTTTTGTTTGTTTATAATGTGTTTTAAGTTCAGGAAGTGTGATTCTTCCTACATCTTTTTCAAGATTTCTTTGGTTATGCATGGAATACAATCTTAATGCCCTTCCAAAAACCTAAATTCCCTGACTGTGGACATCAATAGATAGGCTGTGACTGGAGAAAATACTACTCCTAAAGAAGGCACTAGCCTTCCACCTTATGAATGATATCCTCTTGGTAGGCCCAGACAAGGGCACCACCAATAAGAACTGGGGCATGCCTATGAAGTAACATGGGTAAGCCATTAATAAGACAATGTACAAGGATTTAGTGGGAACTCTGGTAGCATAGTGCCTAAGGCACTTGACTGCTAACCAGAAGGCTGGTGGTTCAAACCCACCAGCCACTCCTCGGAAGGAAGGTTGGGCAATCTACTTCAGTAGTGATACTGCCTCAGCAACCCAAGGAGGGGTCACTATGAGTCAGTTCTGACTTGACAGCACATAACAACAACAACTAAAACAACAACAACAACAAGGATTTAGTAGCCAAGTGAAATTTCTCATTATAATTCAAGAAGAGGTATAAAGTCTCAATCCAGAGAGGATGATCAAGTTTTCTCCCCTCTTCACACAAATAACAAAAAGGATGATCAGCAATTGGTGGAAATATTCACTAATGACATTCTCACATTCCCCATGTTGGAATATTGACCCAAAATACATGCTGGGCTACCAGAAAGGCTGTTACCTTTTATTGGACTCCCAACCAACAGAATTTCCTGAAAACCTAATGATAGGCCACTCAAGCTATTGGATGATCCCAACAAATCCATATTTCATGTTTGAGTTAAAGATCTCATAAGTTCACAATTCAATTATCCTATCGTAGGATACCAATACAGTGAGAGAAACCCATTAGACTTTAATTATCCTAATTATTGGCCTATTATTAGGCTTCGGTGTATATTAAGTGCAAGACCTATGGCCATAAAATAGTGTTATGACCAGTACCTCAACCAAACACTATCAGTACTTTTGCTTCTGTTTGTTAGTGACCTAAGGGTATTCAGACTTTAGATCAAAGTTTAAAATTTTTATAAAATGTATGTTCAAACACATATTCAGAAACAAAACAAAGAGATCTGATGAGTTTAATTTAAAATGATTTTAGCTATCTATAATTGCTAAACTTACTATTGAGTTCTTCTTCTCTAGAAGTGACTTGCTTTTCTACTTTGATTTGGGTATCTGGCACTGAATCTTCATTCTCAAGTATAGGGCTTTCTTCTGGAACTTCATCAAGAGCTACAAAGGGAGACACATTTAGTCCACTAAAGAAAAAAACAAACCTATGCTGAAATCTCTAGATTCTATATTTATAGCAAATGTAAAGCAATTGTACAACTGTACAGAAATTTTCTTTCACTTTATAAAATTATAAGAAAATTATCATATGCAAGATGTGACACAGAAATTGTGAGTACAGTTTTGATGGGTTTGTGCCAAATATGTCACATTTCATAAATATGTCTAGGCATCCAATATATTTCATATTAATCTCTACTTTATATATGTTAATACATATTCATAGATCAAACAATGAAAATATACATGCACAAGATTATTCATTATAGCATCATTTGTAATTGTAAAACATTCTAAACAATCTGAGTGTTAAAATATAGCTGATTGATTGAATAAACTAGGTGTAATAGTATAAAATATGGTAATATAGAATAAACTATGGTATACAGTGAGATACAAACAGCTGTAAAGGATGAAAAAAGCCTCCCCAAATTTACACAGAAGAATTTCTAGGAGATAATGTTAACTGAAAAAAAAAAAAAAGGTGAAAAAGAGGATACAGTATGACTCAAAATGAGAAGTAATAGCTGCAAATATCCATTAGTATCAGAAGTTGGAATGTACAAAGTCTGAATCAAAGAAAACTGGAAGTCATCAAAAATGAAATGGAATGAACTCATATTGATATTCAAGGTATCAATGAGCTGAAAAGGATTGGTATTAGCTATTATGAATTCAACAATCACATCATCTACTATGCTAGGAATAAAAAAATTGAAGATGAAGGGCATTTTATTCATTGTTAAAAAGAACATTTAGAGATCTATCCTAAAGTATAAGGCAGTCAGTGAAAGGTTAATAAAGATATGGCTACAAGGAACACCAGTTAAAATGACTACACACTAACCGCAAATGTCAAAGATGAAGAAAATGAAGACATTTCAACATGTTGCAGTCTAAAATCTATCAAACATATAATCAAGATGCACTGATAATTACTAGTGATTAAAATGCAAAAGTTGGAAATGAAGAAAGATCAGTTGTTGGAAAATTCAGACTTGGTGACAGAAACAATATCAGAGACAGAAACAATATCATGGTAGAACTTTTCAAAATCAATGACTCAGTTATTGTTAAAGCTTTTCTTCCCAAAACACTATTGAACACTATACATGTGGACTTCACCAGGTGGACTCCACAGGAATCAAATAAAATATATCTGTGGAAAGATACATAGAGAAGCTCAATATTATTAGTCAAAGACAAATCCAGGAGCCAGTTGGAGATCAGATCATCAACTACTCATGTGCAAGTTCAACTTGAAGCTAAAGAAAATCAAACCAAGTTCATGTGGGCCAAAATACACCCTGAAGTTAGAGATCATCTTAAGAATATATTTGGAGGCGGGGCAAGATGGCGGACTAGGCAGAAGGATTGCACAGACCCTCTTCAACTAAGAAAAGGGAAACCAATTAACACAGACACAGAAGATAATCTTGGACCCCTGAGCCTTGAAGGAAAGGATGCAGATTTGGACTAAA